TTAACGCATAATGCAGCTGTATACCTATGGATAAACAAATCGGATACAACCAGATGTTACATATATTATTTTACATTTGCAACTCACTATTTCTGATTAATGAATTATTCATCTAAAGTCGTACGGTTTTGTGTACCAAGCAGCTAAAATTTTTTACCCAAATAAAAACTTAAACATTAAATTCACTCTTTAACGATGATTGTTTTGAATGCTATACGTTAAAACATATCATTGCGCCTGAGTTTTTATTTCATTTATCGTACTATAAACATTATATAAAGATATTGTGACAGTAATGTTTTAATATAAAGTGATAGATAAATAACATAATTTGCAACCAGTTAAAGAAGTTTTTCTGGCACATTCGGTTAATCTTAATGGCGCAGTCGGTTCGGGCGTAGCTCACACCACTTTTTAGACAGCTGGGGGTGGTGAGTTCGATCCTGGTGGCCGATAAAAGAAACTGACATGTATATGCAGAAAGTCCCCTCGTTAGCTGATGTGGAAGTTAGGAGAGAGGGTGCTCCGCTCATTGTCTGACCAAGGTCAAAATTACGTGGCATTTCTACCGTGGACCGTTAAAAGGTTAAGTCATGAAAATAGGGCTAGGTGCTTGGCTCTGGTTGGGTGATGATGAATTGTGTTTATTAGTGTCACTTAAAGAACAAATATAGTTAATTCTAATTTTACTATTACAGATCAAACAAGAGCAATATTGCTGCCATGAACGACCTAAGTACGTTCCGCAGTGACATACATCATCGCAACGCATTTTTCAAAGTTTCTTTTTGCCGTAATTACAGTAAATCTCCGTATTAAGTTTCTTAGGAAACATTAAATTGACGGTGTAGATTTGGAGAGTTAACACTCTACAATTTAGTATCTCTGACATAGTTTCACTTACTTAATTTTTAAAAAAAAATTATTAACTTTGCTGAATGACAAATGTTACCTTAAACAGAAAAAAGAAAGGTCTATATTGATACCACTGGGAAACGAATCCAGTAGATCGAAAACTCCCCGTGCAGTAAATGGTTAATCTGTCAGGTCACAAAGTCCTCTATGTTCTCTTGACAAATTATACCTTTGGGGATACTGAATTGGAGATTGATAGTTCTCTGGTTCGGATCAAAATTACCGTCTGTGGATGTATGAATGGCAAACGGGTGGGACAAAAATCAAATTCTCGGCCATAGATGGCGCCACTGGAAAACAAGAACATCCATTGATTTGATAGCCACCGACAACAACAACAGTTGTAAGCAATAACACTTATCTATATTTAGTCTTCAACTTAGCTTAAAACGATCAATGACAAACCTATAAAAAATACATTTTATTCAACATGAAAATATATGTAAGATAAAGATATATATATATCGATGAAATAGCTGTACAAATTTAAATTTAGGGAAAAGGGAAAATATACTTACAAACTTCGTCTTCATAAGCTTAAGAGCATATAAGTGCTGCTCGAAAATAATTATCGATAAAGGAATGCCAGTATGTAGCTTTATGCTACGATTTGACTAGCTATGTCCTCAGCAGCAAGCTACCCCAAACGATTCCTTCAAATTGGGATGTTAATTTTTCTTCATTTGCATTTCCTCCACATAATATTGATTACTTACTTATAGTATTATTAGTTACAATATTATAATAAATAACTTTTTATTAGTTACAATTAAAATACTTGAGTGGAATTTTTAGTGGGAGTTACACTAACTATGTTTATATACTCCTCGCTTAAACACTTAGTTTTTGTTTCATAGTCCACACATGAAGCATACATCATACGTATGTAATAAATACGTATCGTTATAGCAGAAAAATATTATGCAACTGGGGTACCGTGAAACAATTTTCAATCTTATAAGTTGGAAAAAGTTCGGGATCCCCTGCCATGAAGGTTTTTTTTAAAAAAAAAATTAAAAACGAGTTATAGTTTGTCTATGTAAAGAACTCCCCTAGCCATTCTTCAGGAATAGTAGCAGTGACTATGATTACGAGGTTTAACTATTTCAAGTTATTATTTAAGACAGGGTTCGGCTCAGGTCGGCGAGAGAAAGAGAATCGGGGAAGAAAAAAAAACTCTCCTCTCTGAAATGCTCGATTTATTGTTTCCCTAGCAGCAAACGGCCTTAGACTTCTCGGCGAGAGGAGTTCTAGCTATAGACAAACTATACGTAACCTTCCCACTTTTGATTTTGCTACTAAACATAGTATCTAGCCCTGCTCAATTACATTATTTTGTACATGTAAATACCGTGAATTCCACTTTACTTGGAGCTGTTAAGCAGAACTCGTCGCTTGTGCTCAAACTTTACAATCTATCCAACTCAATTCTTAACTAACAATTTTTAATTATAAATAAATATGGTACCACTTCTTTTCTCTAGTACCATATTATGAGAAAGTCGTTTTGAGAGATCCTTAGAGCTGCTACTGATTATAATCTTATGTTCGTCAATTATCTCTTCACATTGCTACAATAATTTAATTACATTACGTTATATGTTGAAACAGTTGACCAAAATATAAGAAATAAAAACTTAATGATACAAGAAATATTTAAATAAACCAAGCAACACTGAAGGTATTGAAAGTCACAATTAGTTTCGTAAATGCTTTGGAAATTTGCCTTGCTATTTTGTCAACTGTAAATAAAGACATTCCAAAATCATGATTGACATTTCCATACTGCGATGAATCTAAATAAATTATTTTATGAACTTAGATTTACTCAAAAGATGCAATGATCATTTTAACTTCAGGGAACGCAAGGTCAAAAAGATTATATTTTTTTAATGATTCTCGTTCGCAAAAAGCTTCTTTTGAAACCTAGAGAAATAGAACTTTTGTCCGAAAGTGTAGACCTTTTTTTGTTGGACTTCTAAAATGTCGGTGGATTTAAGGCGCTACAGTACACCAGTAAGTACTATACATTGTTAAAATATTAAAAATTTGACTCGTTCAACTACATTCCAAAAAAAATAATCCTATTTTTTCGTAAAAAAAATATATTTTCTTTAACTAGAAATATATTTCATATTTAGTTTCATTACAATTTTAAAGAATTTAATTAATTAAATTTCATTCAATTAATTATAATGTGATATTTCAAAAGATATATTTTGTCTCATAACTAAAGTTGCACTATTTATTCTTAATATCGAATATTTCTTGGTGTGAAATTTTATTTTTTACATTAAAAAAATTTAGGCTTGGTGTATTATGGTAATGAAACTATGATGCGATGACATGTTTTAAAGTACTTTAAAGACTTGAGTTTATAATGAAGATTTTCTTTTCTTTTGAGAGCAATACTTTGTCTTTTATGATCTACTTACTGGTCAATTGTGGCTCCCTAGGACCTTGGAAAAAAAACATATAATTTTTAAAATTATTTCGTCTTTTTTTTAAGCGTTAAGTTTTGTGTAATATATTTTAATGACTTATTACTACAAAAATGTTTAGTTAATGATTTTATTAACTAGTCTCTAAAAATCGAGTAAAAAAGCCACTAATTTTGCTATGGTAATAAAAATAACTTTTGTATAGTTTATTTCTTGCAGCCATCTACATAAATTTGAAATAATCAGCTTGAAAAAAAAACTTACCTGCACTTTCTAGACAAAATAAATAAATGCAGTAGGTGCTTAGTGAAATTTGCAAATGAACAGCTTGGGTACAATAAATAAGTGGTCTCTAACACCCGGGCCGTAATCAAATGGTGACGGGTAATTCAAAGAACATTAGATTATTTCCATTTTATTTATTGTTCAGTATTTCTCTCATATATGTGCGACTTTACGTTACACAAGAGCTGAGAGATGTCACCTAAGGCTTCGCCAATACCACGCATGTAATTGTATTTTATTTTGAAGGCATGTTTAAATTGAATTAAATTAAAATTATTAAATCAAATCTATCTAAAATCTAAACAAGTAAGTCCTTCCCAAGCGGGCCACGGTAAAATTATCAAACATTGACCAATCCGCAGCGATAAAAAGGTTTAGACGCACTGCATTAGATATATCAAACGCGATTGGAATACGAGTCCAGGACTGGGTCCTCCACCTCTAATATATGCGTATTTAAATTTGCTATATAGCATATATATTAAGTGTGCCCTGAATAGGGCGGGTCGAGGTATAAATAAACAATAGCATATATATTAATCATTTGGTATATATCTAGCATATAAATTTTTAAAATGTTGTTTTATTTACCTCTATCTAACTTACCAGTGTTTACAAACTTTTGTACTGCGTTATATTTTGAAGCAATTATCTAGAGAAAGATAAAAATCTGGAAATGGTTTAATAAATCAAGAAATGTACCTCTATTAGATTTAAATTCATTTTTCCGAGGCTTATTTCAAAAAAAGTTTAGTACTTAAGCAAGTTTTATTTGGGAAATATTTTTTCTGTTATTATACGTCTCGCATAGACAAGTATACGGCCGACATCACTACTACTAATAAGGGAACTGATGAAACTCCAGTCTGCTGTAGTAAACAATGTTGATTGCATTCAAATTTTGTATTAGATTCTTTTAAAGATAAAGCTGCAATATGGTGCAAAATATGCATTCAAAGAAATTATGTATGGTGCAAAATGTGCGTAAAACAAAATGAGCTGTATCCTCTAGGAAAATTGTTGAACAAATTGAATGCTGTACTATTTTGTCAACTGTATTAGATTCTTTGAAGACAAAGCTGCAATATGGTGCAAAATAAGCATTCAAAGAAAATACGCATGGAGTAAAACGTGTATAAAACAGAATGAGTTGCATCCTCTAGAGGAGAATTATTGGAAAAAAATATAGTGCTCTAACATTTTGTTAATTGTTTAACTGAACCAGCAAGCATTTTATGAGAATAAATTGTTTTAATATATGTATACATTTGTTATAGTGTATATTTAAATTACTTTGTGGTTCCCTTTTAATAAAAATTACGAGTTGGGAGGAGAGTAAAGTATATGTTTTCTTTTCAGGATATTCCAAATGGTAAAAATGGAGAAGGAAATTCTTTAAAAGAATCAGAAGAAAGAAATCGTCATGCAACTGTCATACTATTCTCCCTCATTGAAGAATGTGGGGCTCTGGCGGAAGCACTTCGAATATTTAAGGTATTTACTTTGACATTCTTATATGCATGGGAGGGTAACTCTTTANAGGATATTCCAAATGGTAAAAATGGAGAAGGAAATTCTTTAAAAGAATCAGAAGAAAGAAATCGTCATGCAACTGTCATACTATTCTCCCTCATTGAAGAATGTGGGGCTCTGGCGGAAGCACTTCGAATATTTAAGGTATTTACTTTGACATTTTTATATGCGTGGGAGGGTAACTCTTTAAATTACAAATTAAGTAAAGTAAAATTAGAAAGTAGGTACATTTCAGAATATCGTACAAGAGAACTCATACAAATCACAATATATATATTTATATATATAACCACGAACTATCATTTCTTGAATTTTAAACGACGAATTAATGTTGAATAATGAAAATTAAGCCTATATTCTCCCAGTATTTACTTGCATAACTGTTAAAGGTTTCCAGAAAATGGAGATATATATATTAATCCTCTGTAAGCCTTATTGATTATTCAAAATATGCCAAAGATTTTGATAGACAAAATTTTCCAGGTCAGTCGCAATAGCTGAAAATTTGTTTCCTTTTAAGCAGACATATCAAACTGGAATCCCTGAAAGGACACTATTTAATAATATTCAACGAATTAAAAGAGGAAAAAAAACTGAAAATTATTTAAACTATTGTAATTTTGTTCTATAAATTGATTAACTTCTTTGTCAGAATTCATTGTGTATCATGAAGTTTTACAATTACTGGTAATATAAAATTTCCTTATTTTAAATTCCATACAGTTAGGACATACAAACAATTTTTGTTCGTATCTAGGTATTAAAAAGTTATACTATGCAACTTATTATATAGATAGTCAGTCCTCTATTTATGATTAACTTTTTTATAAAAGCATATTGTAAAATTTAATCTATACATAATTTTATAAACGTCTTGCAAAAATAAAACCAAACAAAATTCGAAAAAATACTAAATTTTGTTTTTATCAGTACTCTTGGTGGCCGAAGTGTATTCGGAAATTAGCCGATTTACTATTAAAAAAATCAAAACTATTCAGTAGGCAACAGACCGCATATGTTTGACAAGGAACTTTAAAAAAAAATTCAAAATATATTAACAATTTAGTAGCATAATATTGATTTTTAATACACCATGAAACTTTTGTAGGAAAATAAGATCAATCTGAATCACATTGAATCAAGATCTTCCAAGAGATTGGGTGACAGCTATGAGTTCTTGGTGGAATGTGATTCCCGATATGGAAATCTCAATGAAGCAATGGAACAAATTAAATCTGTATCACAGTACATGACGGTTATCTCAAAAGATTACAAGGAAAATAAAGGTAAATATAATCATCGAAATAACCATAGCTTTTACCTTATGGGAAAACAAGTACGAAATAATTTAAAAGTACCGTAAAAATGGCTCAGTAGTTAAGGCACTGTACTGTCATTGTGTTTACTTGAGGTTCGATCCCTGCAGTTTGAAGCCCACTCAGCTTCGGATCAATGGGTGACAGCTTGCCTAGAGAGAATAGGTGGTTAAACTTAATGCTAACTGCTTTGCCACAATCATACAGTTGATCACGAAATTGTGGAGACTTAACTTTCAAGACTCGCTGGCCCACAGCGGTCTGTTGTGTGAATACTTTACTTTTTCCGTTGTTGAACAAAGTGGGGTATCATATAAGCTTTTGAATTTTTTAAAAGTAGTGGTGAGTAAAAGCCCTATAAATCAAATTTGCTAAATTTAGAATCGTACATTAAAAGACTACCGCTTTAAAATGTTTATCCGTTGTCCGGTGCAAATTGGCATCTCCGTTAATGGTTCGAGAAAAGGACCTCAAATATGCTAATTAATTAGTGCGGACGATATTTTAAATTAGAAAATAAGAAAGAAAATCGTACTTTTCTTAATACACAAATCTTTTTCAGACGGATTCAGATTTTGGATCCCCAAAATATAGCGAGTAGCCGCAATTTGTGAAATATGGGTCCAATAGTTCGGCCAGAAGAGCGGTCAAAAGTTTAATTTTAATTTTTGCGTATTCTGCCGTAGCTCAAACTTTTTAAGCGAACTGAAACGTTTTTGTACACAATTATAAAAGTAATTTATCCTAAGATAATTCCAATTAAAAAATAACTTAAAAGTAATTAGTTATTTGATGTTTTTGGCGCAATATTTACTACATTATTTTCCTTGATAAAAGTCGAAAGTATTTTGAATTATAAGGTATGAAATTTTTTATTTCATTTAAAAAATGTAATTTTATACAGCAAAATACAAAATTTGCGCGAAATCGGTCGAATAGTTTCTGAAAATTCGAATTTTTAAAATTCGATTCCTCTGGAACTATTCGACCGATTTTATTTAAATTTAGTATTTTTCTATTTAAAATTAAGTACTTTAAAACAATGTAAAAAATATTTATACCCTACAGTTCAAAATTTTTTTGACAATTATTAAATAAAATAATAAATAATTATTAAAAATTATTTTTTTGCATGGAATTATATTTCGATTAATATAATTGCGTGCAAAGAAATTTTCTATTCGCTTAAAAATTTTTAGAGGTATATTTTTTGCATTGCGGCTACCTCCTATATTTTGGGAGTCATAAAGCCGGATTCGTCAGAAAAAAAACATGTTCATTCGGATAAATTTCGTGTTTTTGTCTAATTTCGTAACTTAAAATATGGTATGTTTAGAAAATCAGCATATTTGATGTGAAGATCCAATCATGAGATCAAAAGTTATTCAGGATGGTCAGTTTTCTTTTTTTCCTCACAGTACATATGTTGCGGCAGTCCTTCTACTTAAAACTTACAGATTTCTTATTTTTATTACTTCAAGCCATGCCTTGATTTATTCTTGCAATTATTCCTTCAATATATCGCGAGGATACTGCTAATAGATCTGGTTTCTAAAAGGATATTCGGAAACTTGACGCTTTGCCTTAATTTCTTTTTTCATGACATAAATCTTAAACAGAGATTACGTAATAGAAATGATTTTTTTTTTAATGTAAACTTGTGCGTAAACTTGTTTTCCCAGACTTCTGGTAACTCAAATATTGTAATTTGGTCACTTTTATTTGAATGCCCATGATATACAATGTTAATAAAAAAAATCCTCTTTTCTTTTATGAGTTGAACATTAAATTTATTTATTTCGTCGAACCAAAAGCCGGTCTTAAAATGAAACTAATCTTCTTTTGTTTTTTTTCCATCTCTTTTAGAAACTGTTCCATGGTTTCCTGGAAAAATCAAAGATCTTGATAAATTTGCCAATCATATTCTATCATATGGAGCTGAGCTAGATTCAGATCACCCTGTAAGCATTTGCCAAAACATTTACAATCTAACTATAATAGTAAAATCTATATAGTAAAAAGAATCACTTTACAAACTATGCAAATTATTCTTTAAACAAAAATCGTATTTAAATATAACAAATCACTATCGAGGAAGGCGGGCCTAAGAAATCAAAAATAAAATTGTATGATTGCCGCGGAAAATAGAGAGGCGTTGGAAGACGATCATTAGAAACCCTGTCAAGTTTTGATCGGCAATGTAACAGGTTTTAATGATTTCGAAACAGGTTACTTCTACTTTTATCAATAGTAATTTGCAAGACATTGATAATGTTTTATTCACTTAAATATTTATTTACGACATTCCAATGTATCGATTTTATTTACTTAATCAATTAAAAATTCTAAAAACCTATATATTGAACGACTATATACAAGGTGTCACTACTAAACACTCTTTATAAGGTTTCCTGCAATATATGAAAAAAAAAGACATACATCGAAATCCTTAGGTAATGAGTGAAATTTTTAATCGTTTCATACTTTGTTGGCTAGTTTTCAGCATTCTATAAAATGCCTAAGTATTCCATTTTATCAAAAACTTCGCTAAAATATTCTTTTAAACGTATTAATTACTATATATGCATGAATAGGTACGTACAATCAATAAAATAAAAATCGAATCACTCTAAATAACGTTTGATCGGATTATCTATGAAAAACTAACATATTTGAGTTGTGCGTGATAATCTAAAGATTATATCAAAAGTTGTTTATCATGATTCGTTTTTTTATTTCATCAATTTACTTTTTCGTATCTTTGTTAGGGCTTCACTGATCCAGTTTACAGAGAGAGAAGGAAATATTTCGCTGATATTGCTTTCTTTTATAAACAGTAAGTATTATATATATATATGTATATATACGTAAGCACTAATAACAATAATATAAAATAGAAAACTATTACTTAACAATTTGCAAAAGTCTTCATCCGGACACATTTTTTGCTATAATTTAATGCGATATTTCTGAATAAAGAATAATTATCCTAAGATTATATATATATATATATATTATTGCAGATAATAAAATAAAAATTTTATTTCCCACATTGAACAACCGATTCATATCCGATTTGCAGCTATAATCATGTTCAACCTAGTAATTCCGAGCCTAACCCAGAAGGCAGAAAATTTTTGTATGATTCGACAACGAGAACTGGGTTGCAAATATTGCTCTCTGTAAATACATATCACTTATCGTTAGTTTCATGTTTTCTTTAAACAGCATAATTCATTATCACCGCCCTTAATATACATTTTTAGAACATTGTCGAAGTTATGTATATTAAGGGTTAGACACAAATTAAACACATTATGGGTTACAAGTGCACAAATTAAGCAACAAGTAAACATACAATACACATTATATGTTACAGATTATGCAAATCAGATGTTAATGTTTAATTGGAGGAAAAATAATATTAACAAAATCTAGATAAATTTACAAAAATCAGTTTGATTATTAGATGAAATAGGTAAAAATAAGGGAAAGTTTATTATTGGAAACTCCTTTCGGTTTATATACAGTCGACTAAATATCCAAGCTGTTTCAATTTAATTGATTTTTAACCTCTCCATCCCCGATGATGAGTCGTAAATTTTAATAGCGTTATTGTTTTTCTTCAATTACCAACTAAGTTGCAACCCTCAAAGTGCATATTGTTTTGGTTTCGATTTTGACAGCAATGATAATATAGCAATTAAGAGTTAAGTATGCGGAACACACTATATTAACCTTTCTTGTAAAATGTTGCTTAAATTAAAACATCGTCTCTTTCTCATTCGATACTTCACAAGAAATTTACTTTTCACTTTATAATGTAATGGCAATTTCGTTTTCTTGCATTTTAGTGGACAGACCATTCCAAGAATCGAATATACAGAAGAAGAAACTAAAACTTGGTAAGTAAAGTTTAAGTTTTCAATTCTCAATGTAAGATAATTTGGTGTATGTTTTTTTCTTCTTCCTAAACATACATTACGTCATCAAGTGAAGTAATTTTTCTATTTACATTTGTTTTATTATTATAGGGGTACAGTGTTCAAAGAGCTAATAAAATTGTACCCTACACATGCCTGCAAGGAGCACAATCATATATTTCCATTAATGATTGAAAACTGCGGTTATAGGGAAGATAATATTCCTCAACTGGAAGATGTATCAAATTTTTTGAAAGGTCAGTAGATTTTTACACTTAAATTTTAACAAGTCGTAGTTCAGTTTTTTTTTCAATATTATTATATGCTTTTATTAATTGGTGAGAAATCTAAAATAAAATAAATAAAAGGTGAAAAACCTAAAAATAACTTAAAAAAATTCTGACTCATATGTTTTAGTTTAATTTAAAAAAGAAGGGAAATCTTCAAATTTTTGTAACTTCATGTAAAATTTAAAAGAAAAAACATTGAAAATCTAAAACTGGGAGTGATTCCAAGGAAAAAAAGTATTCTTATAATTTTATTTACTATTGGACGATTCTATGCTGAGGATTAGTCAGAAATAATTTGCACTGTTTTTTAATTTTATTTTTAATTTATTTATTTATTATTTTTTTATGAATGTAAATAAAACCATTCATGTATTGGCATTTGTTACTAAGATACTTCAGGCAGCAATACATATTTACAAGACATTTTTCAACCTACATATTAACTACATGAGTCACGTGTGAACTACATGAATCTTATTCTAAGTCTATATTAACAAAATATTTAATCCTTTCTATAAAAAAGAATCCCGAGCAATAATTCGAGAGCATGATTTAAAGGCACGAAGAATTAGTAGGACATGGGTTAAACTTGAAATATTTGTATATTTTTCTTTTTGACAGTTACAATAATTTTATCAAGCAATAAGATTATAACTTGTTATTATTTGTTCAGATTGCACAGGGTTCACTCTACGTCCAGTTGCTGGTCTACTCAGTTCCAGGGATTTCCTAGCTGGTCTTGCTTTCAGAGTTTTCCACTCAACACAATATATTAGACATCCTTCAAAACCTTTCTACACCCCAGAACCGTTAGTAGAGCTCCATTTTTTAAAATTTAATTTAAAATATCATAGCTATTGTTCATATATAGTTAACACACAGAGTGTCCTGAATGAAACAGACAATTTTTAAAAATTTAAAACAATAAGTCGGTTTTTTTTTTTGCAAATTCGTGGGACATTGCCGAAATTTTTTTTCCCATAGTTAATGTTTTTGTTTGAAAAGTTTTCGTCAGATGGCACTGCAAGAAGTAAATTGAACTCAATTAATAAAAGCAATTAAAAATCACAACACAAGTTTTTGATATCTTTCAATAAAAAAAAATCATTTAGCTTTATTTTAGAAATGGCCACTGTCAGCAACAATTACGTAAGAAGTGGAAGGTGTTTACAACGCCATTTGTCGGTACATTTATAACTAAAACCATAAACCCGAGGAGTAAAATGTATGCTTTGTAACATAAATTTGCTTCAAAATTGATTTTAATAAAATAAAAAATTCTATACTGTTTTTCTATTACAAATTTTTTATTACTGTCAATTTAGTATAGGACATGCCGTAAATAAGTATGCTTGAAATGTTATATTTTACATCATTCGCTGTACTCATCTCTGTATATATTTAACTTTATGTTTAGTTAGTGGAGTTACAGGCGCGAGAAAAAGTTGTGGCTATATCGCACCTATTACTAAAGTCATGTTACTATGCCCCAATGTTTATGTTACTAAAATATTTTTAATCTAAGTATAAGTTCACATCATTTGAGTATTATTGTGTTATGCTTTGCCACTTTTGAACTTACGAAATTTTGGTCTTACGCAGATTAAAAAAGTAAACAACTGGACTAATCCAATTTTGACCTGAATAATTGGAACAAAATTAAAATGATAAATAACTCTGGAGCTGTCTCGTTAGGAAACCAAACAATTTAAAATAAATAGTTTTTTCCAACTACCGAAACACATTTTTAAAACTTGAAATTAAATTCCTTAATGAACGCATTTCAAATATAATTTTGGAATATTTGTAAAAAATGAAATTAAAAAGAAACTAGTCATACAAGGGGTGTCGCAAATTAATATTTAAGTAAGAAAGGGCAATATATATATTTATATCAATAAGCAGAAATTTCAATATTATTAATTTGTTGATCACAAAATTTAATTGTCAGAGTTTGATAACATCTTCTTCTGACTGAAATATTAATTTACAATCACTAATACTCATCGGACAATAATATATACAGGGTGATACAAAAATATATTTCAAAATTGCAAAGGCAGGTAGGGATAGGACCTAAATAAGTATATTCTGTAAAGGAACGCGTGTGCCAAACTGCCGCGTTGAACCGATAGAGAGAGCTGTTTTGTAAGAATGCATGTGCGACAATCCATGTGCCGCTATGGATCTTGTGTGCCTGTTGGAGACAATTTTTTCGAGCATCTATTGTAATTAAACGGTAATTGATTGTTAATTATTTGATTTTGTTTATGAATGTAGAGGCGAAAATGCCGCGTAAGTGCGCTAGCACGTAAAGCAGTATTAATCTTAAATAAATAAAAATACAAGTTAGACACAAGCAAAAATGATTTACAAACAGTTTGCAATCAAATACAGTATACAATAGCTGCTCGAAAGAGCAATCATTAACAGCTATACAAGATTCAGAGCGGCGTATCGATTGTTGTTCAGTTGTCTCTATCGGCTTAACGCGGCATTTCCGCACACATATTTCTATATGAAATATGCTTATTTAGGCTCCCACTATCTGCCTACATTTTTGATATATATTTTTGAACCACCCTTTATATATACGAAAACCTTGGGGTAAAAATTGACAACTCACATGCTTATAATTTATAATAGAGTAAAAATAGATTTTTAATAAGATGTGATGATTATCAATATTATGCACAAGATGTCTTACTTAAATTAAAAGCGTTCGTTGCGGGACACCACAATTATTAGCGAAATTTTTTTCCTTCAATTTAAGCCTTTCTGATATTCAAGCACACATCGAAATTTTTTTTTTGACTGGAGACCAGACTCTTAACTTACATAATAGTGTGAGATGTGAGTGACCTAATGATTAAGAATGATTTAATTATAATTAAAAAATACTGTATTTAATTGCTTTTAAATATTTGTACCAGGAAAAATGCAACAATTATTGGAGTGGGTTAATGCTTGCACGCTAGACTATTGTGCTACGCAAAGTAGATAGTTTGTTTTATCGTCGTAACGGAGTATTAATATTTTAGAATTGAGTTGAATGTAGGGTTTAATGGCATAAAATCCAATTAATAATGTAGAAATAAATCTGCAATAAAAATGGCTTTAAGATAGATAGCTGTTTCGGTGCTATTAAAGATTAGTATCATTAGCGCAGGAACTCAGAACGAAAACTGAAAGAGTACAAAAATCGTGTTGTATTAACAAAAGAGTAAAAGTTAACCAACACTAAAATTGGTTATTCGCACTATCGTATTGATATTAACCGGAAAATTCCAAGTAAGTCAAAGCAGTGGAAATAATAAAGAAATGTGGGAAAAAATCTAAAATTAGGTCTACATTAAAATTCTAAGCATTTTTTCCCCCCAGAACATTTGATCAAGGAAAGTAAAAATGCAAAATTTTATATTTTTCTTATTAATTTTTTTATGTTAGGATATCTTAATATATAAAAAAATAAATATTGTTTTATTTTGTGACTAATAGGGATATATGTCACGAACTGCTAGGACATGCTCCGTTGTTTGCTGATCCAGATTTTGCCCGATTTTCCCAAGAGATTGGTTTGGCATCCTTAGGAGCACCGGACGAATACATAGAAAAGTTAGCTACGGTAAGTTCAACTTTCTTCCATAATTATTAATTAAAATACTGTCTAATTTTATAAAATTGAATAAATAATTTAGAAAATATTTATTAATATTTTTCCATGAATGTGAAATTTCACTTTCTAACAACGCATTTAGTTCTTATTCCTTAATCTTTTGCTTTTAATATATGTATATCGCTGGTTCAAAACTAAAACGACACATCTGCACTCACTTCTCATTTTATTTGAATGAGAAGTGATTGCAGATGTGTCGTTTGAACTTTGAACCAGCGATACGTTTCTATTAAACTTTTCACCTTTGACAAAAATATTGGACAAAGCATGACGTTCAAACAATATATTTCTTTAATTGCATAGAAAACTGAAATATTATTTTAAAAAGTAACATGAATT